GCATTTGATACCCTTGGCAGTTTTGAAGAGTACTGGTCAGGTGTTTTGTAGTATGTTCCTCAGTTGGGATTTGTCTGATGTTTTACCCTTAACTAGACTAGACTAGGTGTTTAATAGGTTTTATTATTATTATTTAGGTATGGCAAGGCCAACAGATCAATTATGCCATTGTAAAGATAGTTTGTTACACTTGCAGATCCCAAGAGGGGCTCCACATCATGCCACGGGGTGGGGGGAGCCTTCTGGGGAGGCACTGTCATCAGGAAGCAGGGACGGGGGGTGCTGGGGCAAGAGCCTTTATTTCCCTGGGAAGGAACAGGTGAGGCAGGGAAAGCAGACTTAGGATTGGCTGGTTTGAACGACTTTAGGGGGCTCTGGAGCATGGGGGATGTCTGGTACCTAGGAATCTGGTATCTGGCTCTAGAGTGATTAGGGAAGCCAGACAGTGGCCAGGAGTGTGAAAGCCCTATAAGGGAGAGGACTGGGGGTGTGGACTCTACACTGGTTGGTTTGTATTTGAAAAGCGCACCCCTAAGAGGAAAACTCCTCTTGAGGAGTTGGGAGTGGGGAGATGAGGTCACAAGGGAGACAGGAGGCCAAGGCAGGGTGACGCAGACATATTATCAGATTGTCCAGAACTATTAATAGCTGTGTCCGGCATATGCATGTCAGGCAGATATTAAATCACAAACTTTACAGAAGCTAGAAACACGCTTAATACACCGGATTATGTGTTTTGGGGAAGGAGACCACAGAGCTGGAGTGTCATTTTCTTCACGTCATGTCCAGGGTACATACTATCCACACACCACTGTTGATGTTGACCTGATCATGGGGCTGATCGGGCTCTACTTTTGTAGACACCATTTCCACTCAATGCCCACCTTTAACGTTTGTCTCATATATTTGAAGTGTTTATAGAGTAGGATATCAATAAGCATGCAGCGTAATTTTCCTTGGGTCTTGATACTGCGGAAGAATCAACCTGTGGGTGGTGAGTTCTAGTTCTTAGAGATGGGGCCCTCTTTGGGGTGGAAGTCTCTATAGAATGGAGTCTTGAAACGTGGGCCTCAGGCAAGCTGATATCCTGGGGGAGACTCGTGTCTGAACCTCCTCACTGTTCTGTAAAGTGGTAGTGCTTTGTGTGCTTCCCACTGCTGAATAGACATCTGAGTAGATGCCTGTGGCTCTGTCAAGAGTTTGGGGCTGGTCACCACTGTCATGAGACAAGGTGTATCCATGAGACTTAGCTATGAGTCAAAATACTGAGTGTTAGCCAATTTTCTACATATAAATGTGAAAATTCCTGGTTACTCCATAAGTTTCCTGACCAGTATCTTCTGAAGCCCTCTGATGTTGGTGGAGATGGTGAGAAATATGTGAATTTCTCTGTTCTGCTTTGGAAAATCCTGAGTTGGGGAAGGCAGGACACAGAGTTGGTTGGTGATTTACCTGCACATCTCTTTTTCCTCATGCCTCAGGGTCTAAGTCACAGAACTGTCTGTGGAACTCCCTCATCGACGGGCTCACAGGGAATGTCAAGGAGAAGCCTCGGCCAACGATCGTCCACGACCCCCGACCGCCGGAGGAAATCCTAGCAGATGAATTGCCGCAGCTGGATAGCCCAGAAGCCTTGGTGAAGACATCCTTCAGGTTTGGTGGATTGCAACACAGTTTGTTCCTTCTTATTTGCTTGTGGAGTTGTTTCAATCCAGTTAGATGCGTAGTCAGCATGACCAAAAAATTATTTCATTCCTCTGCACTGAGTAAATTAGAATTGACGAAGAAAGGTTGGAATCAATGCTAACTAGACTTCTGGCTGGATTTCCTGAATGCAGTGAAGATCGTATCGGTGGTTAATTTGCTGTAGGTATTTAATTGGTATTGGCATTTAAATGCTGAGGCAAAGGATTGACTGATGTTGGCAAGGTGAACTGGATTAATGAGTCTTTTGCTTCAAAG